AAGAGACCGGTTGCCTACGCTGCACTTCCGAAGGTTGATGCTGAGCTCCAAAGGCTTCAAGACAACGGCATCATTTCACCAGTCAAGTTCTCCGATTGGGCTGCTCCCATAGTTGTGGTTCGCAAGTCCGATGTCTCCGTGCGCATTTGTGGTGACTACTCTACAGGTCTCAACGATGCCCACGAGTCAGATCGCCATCCACTGCCACATCCAGACGACATCTACGCCGAACTAGCCGGAGCCGTTTCTTCACCAACATCGATTTACCTGCAGTTCGAGGTTGAAGAAGCATCTCGAAAGCTGCTCACTATAAACACTCATAAAGAACTTTTCCAGTTCAATCGATTGCCACCAGGAGTCAAATCTGCGCCTGGAGCATTCCAAAGGATCATTGACAGTATGGTTGCTGGACATCTTGATCGCTGGAAAAACTCAACAGGATCATGATCGCAGTCTGAACGCTGTGCTTCACCGGACTCGTGAGTATGGCTTCCACTTACGCATCGAGAAGTGCCGGTTCTCTCTTCCGCAGATCAAGTTTCTGGATCGCATAATCGATAAAGATGGTCTCCGCCCAGATCCTGCTAAAACCAACGGCATCTCCGAGATGCCACCACCTTGGTGCGATCAACTATTACGGACGATTCGTTGGCCAGATGGAGGAACTTCGAGCGCCGCTTGACCGTCTACTAAAGAAGGATGCTCCTTGGAAATGGACCGCGGACTGCCAAAAGTCGTTTAACCTTTTCTAAACCATCCTGGTCTCCGATCTCCTGCTGACTCAATTCGACCCCAAAAAGGAAATCATCATCGTTGGAGACGCTTCCAAGAATGGTTTGGGCGCTGTAATCCTACATCGCTTCTCCAACGGCTCCGTCAAAGCCGTCGCTCACGTTTCGAGGTCGCTGACACCTGCAGAAGAAAACTATGGTCAAATTGAGAACGAAGCGCTCGCGTTGGTATTTTCTGTCACCCGTTTTCACAAGATGATATTCGGACGAAAATTCGTGCTGCAGACCGACCCCAAACTCGCTTTCGGCAGCAAGAACGGCATTCCCGTTTACACCGCCAATCGTCTTCAGCGTTGGGCGCGACATCCAGTTCATCCCAACGGCTAGTTTTGGACATGCCGACGTGTTGTCCCGCTTGATGAGCTGTCACAGCAAACCAGACGAGGAATACGTGATTGCTGCTCTCCAAACGGAATCTGACGTGAAGGCAATTCTCGCAGACTCAATATCCAGCTTGCCGGTCACATCCGATATGATCTCCAACAGGGATGCCATTCTCCCCAGTGTAAGCAGGGTGATGAGTTGAAACGACACCTCGCACTATGACAAAAGCAAACTCACCCGAGAGATTTTTATTTTGTTTTCAGTTTCTATCGCTTCTCCCACTTCGCAAACAAATACAGTTTCTGACCTCGCACCTCCACCAGTCCAACACACCGGAGCGTATGAGTGATCACTAGGGAGCACCGTAGAGAGTTCGTTTGCTTCACCGGGGAGAATCACCCCGGTGAAGACTTTGGTTGTTAGTTTGTTGCTAAGAGGAAGAGGAGACAACTGACTTCTTACTCTTTTATCTCTATTTCTATCTCTATCTCTATCTTACGCATTTCCAATCGGCCAATCACGAGCTGGTTCGCGCTTGACAGAAAAGTGATTCGTTTTCGCCCCCCGTATTGTCTTCTCTTCCTCTTAGGTTTGTTGCATACAAAACAATTTTAAATGTTACTTTTTCTATTAACGTACAGTAGTCAATTATTTTAAAATTTGGTGTACACATTTTGGAAATGCGAATACGGGAAGTGCATCAGCGCACCATTATTGAAATTTGCTTCAGTTTAGTCGACAGACAGACATGGGACAGAGATCGATTAGGATCACAGCGGGAGTTCCACAAGGCTCCATCCTTGGTCCAACGCTCTGGACCGGGATGTACAACGGCGTGCTAACGCTGAAGCTGCCCAAAGAAGTTGAGATCGTTGGCTTTGCGGACGACATCGTCTTGACGGTAACAGGCGAGACGCTGGAAGAGGTGGAAGTGCTGGCGACCGAGGTGATCATCATGATTGGTAACTGGATGTAAGGAGCGAAGCTGCAGATGGTCCATCATAAAACGGAAGTTTTATTGGACAGTAACTGTAAAGCGGTACAGCGGGAATATATCATCGTCGGGGGCATTCCATAACCTCAAAGTGGAAGACAGCGAGTGCTACAGGCGGAGGGAAGCCGGAAGAGTACGGAAAGTTGTGAGAGCGGAGTCGTTGGCTAAGTGGCAACAGAAGTGGAATACGGCAGAGAACGGTAGATGGACACGTAGACTAATAAAGAGATGAAACAGCCTCTGGCTGAAAGTCTCACTATTAAAGATAACCTAACCTAACCACGTAGACTAATACAGATTTTTTTCGACCTGGGTGAACAGAAATCACGGAGACGTCAAATTCCACCTAACGCAGTTCTTGTCTGGCCGCGGCTGCTTCAGAAAGTATCTGCATCAGTTCGGACACGCAGTGTCACCCCTCTGTTAGGAGTGTGGCAACGTGGATGAAACGCCGGAGCATGTGGTCTTCGACTGTCCAAGGATCGAGGCAGTTTTGTGAAGCGAGATGCCCGTCCTTAACGTGGAGAATGTCGTCGTTGAAATGTATCGAGAAGAAGGCACTTGGAATGCCGTCAGCAGCTGCAGCGAAAATGGAGAGAGGAGCAGCGATCTAGCCACACCAGAACACCCGATGAATATTGACGAGATGCCGCTTCAAGTTGAATACCGTGACCACTTTTAATGTTTTTTTTTTCATTTGCCCTGCAAAGCACAACATTCACAACCACTTTTTCGGTACTGTCCTCAAACCGCACTAAACTCAGCAACACAAAGGCGTTCGGTGAAATGGCATTCGGCAAAATTTTCCATAGTAAATTTTTTTTCGCCTCTCCCTAGCTCAAAACCTGGCTACGCCCTTGTCTTTGTATACGTTTTTGAGCCATTTTATTGATGTTTTCACTCACTCATGTCAAGCTCTGCCGGAATCTTTGGAGAAACAATAACGCATTTGCGCTGCTATCTTTCTCACGGAAGTGAGTGTATAAACAGACAAAAAGTGAACTGTCAACATTCTCACTCTCTCGTGCTGTGTCTAAAAATCTCTCCAGTGGTGCAAGGAGAAATCTCCGAGGAGACAAGCAGAGATTCACCCCAGAGAATGATATCTCTTGCACCCGGGTGATTCTCCCCAGATAATTTTCAACTCTGATCTCCAAGGAAACGCAAGACGACCCGGTCCTACAAGAGGTAATCAACTACATCCGCAATGGCTGGCCAAACACTGTAAGCGAGCTACCAGATACAGCTGTTCGTCAGTTCAATTCCCGACGAGAGAGCCTCCAGGCCACCCAAGACTGCGTCATGTTCGCTGACAGAGTTGTAGTTCCAGAACGAATCCGCAAGCGCATCACCCGACAACTCCACCGTGGACACCCCGGAATAGACCGAATGAAGTCACTCGCAAGAAGTTTCGTTTACTGGCCCAACATCGACGACAATGTTGAAACGTTTGTGCCCCAGTGTCGCACCGTAAGACTATCCTTGAATCGTGGCTGATACCAACGAAACCGTGGGAGAGGATCCACATCGACTACGCAGGTCCAGTTGATGGTTATCACTACCTCGTCGTGGTCGACGCCTATTCGAAGTGGCCGGAAATATTCAGATCCCGCAGTACAACTACTACGGCGACATTGGAAATACTGCAAGAAACTTTCGCAAGGTACGGCAACCCACACACCCTCGTTTCGGACAACGGTACCCATTTTGTAAGTGCTCGATTCAAGCAATTCTGTGAAGAAAATGGGATCCACCACCTGACGACAGCCCCTTACCACCCACAATCGAATGGGCAAGCTGAACGCTTTGTCGACACCCTTAAGAGAGGACTGAAGAAACTCACCGAAGGGGAAACCATGGTAACATTCTAGCATCTCCAGACGTTCCTCTCAGTTTTCCGGTCAACTCCAAATAGAAGCGCTCCGGATGGTAAGACACCTACCCATCTATTTTTAGGAAGATCAATACGAACAACGCTGGACCTATTGAAGCCCTGTGTTCTGAGTCCAGCCTTGGAGAACAAGATACAGAACGCTGAATTCAACAGACGGCATGGCGCAGTGAAGAAATCATTCGATCCGGATGATTTGGTCTACGCTCAGGTCCATCGTCGCAACACAATCGATTGGATTCCAGGACAGGTAATCGACCGCAAGGGCAAAGTGAACTACACTGTTGTGCTCGAACATGGACGCTTGATTCGAGCACACACCAACAACGATATCCGGATGAAAATGATGCCGATCAATCTCCAAACCCACGCAATCAACTTCCCCTGGCCTTGTTAGTTGACCTACAAGCTCCGAAACTACAAGCGTTCCACCTACAAGCTCCGAAACCGTTGGTCCCAGCAGTGCTGATAGAAGAACCAATTCCAGATGATGAACTGATTCCTGATGATGACGAGCCCGATGATGTAATGGACGGATGACGAATCTGTTGTTCCTGCTAACAGTGTGAATATTCAAGAACCAGTCCAACAGCGTGAAGAAAGAACCCGTAGACTTCCAGCTTGGCTACGATCTCTTTTGATAAAAAAAAGATGTACCATCGGCGTACACATCAGAAGAATATGTTGCCTGGTAGGCCATGATTTGTAGCCATGGTACGAAAGTAACAAACTGAAAATATTTTGTGATTTTAGTTCCAACCACCGAAGAGACAATTCGAAATATAATTAGCTTTTAAACCTAAAACTAGTTCCCTTCTCTTCGAGAACACAACAGATAGCTAATCTCAAGCCGCATTCATTTGGTTCTGTGTGCGAATTTTACTGCATCTGGTCAACGGCGAATTGTACGGTCATCAATGCTCATGCTCATGCTTTTTTTGGTAGTCCAGATTTAGTTGCAATCAACAATATAAGGGTTTCTTTTTTGTATTATTTCCAGGAATGCTGGACTTCTGGCACGTGATGAACAAGTGCACCGTCATAGCGAAGAAGGAACTGCTATTCACCGGACCGTTTGGCATAGCAGCATGGCTTAGCGGTCTGATCTTCATCGACCGGAAGAAGGCTGCAGCAGCACACGTTGCTATGAACGATTCCACCACCATGCTGAAGGAAAAACGCGTCAAGTTGTGGGTCTTCCCGGAGGGTACCCGACGGAATACCAACGAAATCCATGAGTTCAAAAAAGGCGCCTTCCATGTGGCCGTACGATCGCAACTGCCGATCATGCCGGTGGTGTACAGTTCGTACGGTTCGTTCCTAGACGACAAGGCCAAGATTTTGAACAACGGCCACGTCATCGTGACCACAATGGAACCGATCGAAACCAAGGGCCTAACCAGCGATGATATCCCGGAGCTGATTGAACGGGTCAAGAGTGCCATGCTGGATACGTTCAAGGCTACCACAAAGGAGGTGGAGAACAAGTACAGTGTCAACAAGAACGGTTCGACCGGGAGCCTCAGTGGATCTAAATTGAGACTGCGTTGCATTGATGATCTCATTAAGCCAAAGCTGTCCAGTCGCATCAATGCCACCGCTGATGGTTCGCCATCTAAGGAGAGTACCGTCTATCGGAGGAAGGACTAAGCGGCATTTGCTCGATTTTGACAGTGTGATAAGATATAAACCTGAATTTTATTTTTGTCAGTGAAAGCATTCCCTCTAAGAGTGGAATACCGTAAATTCAGTTCAACATTTTACCGAAGGAGTGCGTATGATAAGTAGGAAAAACTAAACTATGACCTAGTGTGAGTAAAGAGTGAGGAAGAGACGCTAGTAACGAAGAAATTTTGTTGATTTCCATATTTATTGCTGTATTTTTTGTACATTTTTTTTTGTTATGTTATTAAAAGTTATTGTATTTAAAATGTGAAGTTGAAATAAGAAGACACTTTTGACCATTCCAAGGTTAAATTTCAAATTGCAACAACAACAACATACAAATAACAGTAGGGTGAATCATTTCTAAAAATGATTCATCAAAAACCCAGATTTTGTCTGTAGATCTCGCCATATAAAATCGCTAACGAGACTTTTATTTGATTCCTGCCATGATCCCGTTTTAGTAGACCCCGTACAAACAGTGCGCACTAATCAACAACGATAGACAATGTGCAGTCGGATTTTGCTTTTCAGTCTGTGTCATATTATATAGCGTAAGAATGTTAGTCCATTAGTTTGATACATTTTTGATCGAAACCCTACATAAATGGTGGCGAAAAGAAAACTGGTTGCAACAGAAATTTGCCATACTCAAACTAAATGTATATTTAAAAGCAACAAATTCCGGCTAAAAATTACCAAAAACTTGTGTTAAAATAGTAAATGTTTAGTTTAAGGTAATGTTGCCCGAAACAACAACTGAAATTTTCACATTTTTCGGATGGATCGATACAGTTTTGTCAGAACAAAAATAATCTGAAACTAGTTGATACCTACATACATAAATAGATTTTTACCGCAGTAATGCAACAATGTAAAACAGGAAAGATGCAATGTTTTTAAGTATAGGGTTATGATAGGAATGAGAACACATAAAGTGAGGTTATGTCATCTTATTTGAGAGATTAGAAGGAAGGGTTGCAAGTGATTTTGATCGACTTTCTCTTGATAACCACGGCTTTACAAACATATTTCGCGCTATGTCTGCTACATAGTTTGATAAAGGACGCATCAAAGCATGGAAAATCATTTACATTCATTTCGTGCATTCATGTACATTAATTTGTCTCTAACTTTTTTCATCAACAAAATTAAGAATTCCATAAAATGATTAATGAAGCTATTGTAGGTTTTATAACTAACTACAACTTTTGTGAATAATTCAAATCTGTATCTCTTATGCATGGTGAAACAGAGCGTCCAGAACCCACCATTGTTTTTCAGTGAATGTAAATTACATTCACTGAAAAACAATAATAAGTTCTAGTTCGTCGAGCAGAAGATATACAGGTTTGTGTTATCTACAATACTTATAGCTAATCATAAAACCTACAAAAGCTTTATACATCATTTTGCGGAATTCTGTTGATGAAAAAAATTAGAGACAAGTGAATGTAAATGATTTTCAAGGAATGTGTTTGCAGCCGAGTTATTAACGAAAGAGAAAGTTGACGAAGAGAATCGATCAAAGTCACTTACACCTATTTCCTTCTAACCTCCTAATTTGAAATTATTGTTCAATGCAATTCAATCATGATGTAAGTAAGATCAAAACAATGTAGGGACACAATTTTAGTTCATTTTTATTTCATATCAAGCCGGACATAAAAGATTTTGTGCACGTTGAGTCCTAGACAATGTATTTTTATCATAAACTTTAACAGGAAACATCCAAGCGCTTTGTATTGTAATCCCGTTCAAATACAATAATAAAGTATTCTTCATCAAATTAATGTTATTTCACATTTTTTACTTGAGCAACTTCACATCCTCCTTTACTTAAAGCTGAACAATGCTAAGTGACATTGACAGATAGTCTTCGTCGACTTTCTCTTTGCCTCCTCAGCGCCATGTTAAGACATTCCCATCTAATTTCAGCACACAGATCGATGAATCAAGCTATTATTTGGCATTTTATACGACAAACAACGGTTCAGTACCCCAAAATCGTTGTTTACGTATTGCCCCCTTTTTTATACAGGGGGGAATCTGCTCCCAGACACCTGAGAAGATAACTCAGGGTGTGGGGATGGGAGAAGTAGCACTCCCGACCCACTAAACCTTACCCTGTGCTCTAGGCCCTTGCCCTCCCCGGAACCGCCCGAAAGCATTACGTCATGGGAGGAAGCCAGTTGCGCTATGGCGCATCACTAAGTGTTGTGTCAGACGTGACACTCGCTACTGCACAGTGAGCAGCTGTGCAGGGCCTTCCTCTTTTTGATCGCTGTTAGTTGTTCGCCTGAGTTCTAGAGCAGACGTGATAGCCAGCCAACTGTCCAGGGCCAAACAGGACAGATGTGATCGCTTACCAGCTGCGTGTGCTTAGCACTCTAAGAACCCGTTGTCACTCCTGCCTTTGCATAACGAGGGTTTGTGCAGGGCTTATCAACCTCCTGGGACGAGCTGGATGGGGTTCCAGCGTCCTTACTCTGCGGTAGTTCGTTTAGCCGCAATATCTCTCCCTTGGGTTCGATAATTAACGTTTCCAGATACATACATACATACATTTTCCAGGGAAAAATTCCCGAATTTGAGAAAAGTAAAGATTGGATTCACTCAGTCTATTGGTACTACTCCGAGACTGAATAAAATTTTCGTCAATTTCCTCATTTTCCGGCAGATTTTTTAGGTTTTCCACCGGAAACCATGAGACAAATTTTACTCATCACTGAGTTCCTGCACTTTTGGCGATTATGAGTGAACTAAACAAAAATTTGAGTCGTTCTCATTCGCCGTGCACAACTTTTACCATCGATGGTCGCGTTAATTAAATGTATAGTTTTCATTCGCTTACGTGCGCGTTTTAGTTCATTTCCATAGTGATTACCTATCACGGCCACCTGCGAACAGCTCGTCGTAAGAGCAAGTATTTCTCTTGCACGGTGGTTAAGGCTGGGACACGGATATATGGAAACCAATAATTCTCGTTCCAGTATGATTTCCGGGCGCCTTATGGGTCCTAGAATAACTGTGTAAAATTTCAGGTCGGTCGGTGGAACTATATTTTAGCGCCAGCGGTTTTAATTTTACATAGGATTTTCTATGGGAAAACTTACATTTTCAAATAAAAATCTGGTGAGGTCACCCATCGTTCTCTAAAAATAAATCAACCCAATTTTTCCCTAGGAAATTTTACAAGAAACTTTTTCTTCCAAGACCGGAAGCTTTTCTAACCAAACGAACTGCTCATTATTCTTTTTTTTTCTAGCAGCACTGCCAGCTGCCGCCTGCTGCTGTCTGCGCGACCCTAATAAAAAATAACCATAAACGAACGATAACCCAAATAATTGAACTTTTCCACTAATGGTTTGGAAGATACCCAGAACACGTCGTTAAGCAAAATAACCATAACAATTTTATTAGGGGAGGCAGTCACGTTGTGTGGGGGTTCACTAAGCATGGAGGAAAGCCGATATCATGCGCAAAGAATCTTCGATTTTGATGAAACGTTACACAGGTTCCCGGTATAGTACAACAATTATGTTTCACGGGGGTCATTTGGAAACAAGCGTGATTTTTCACAAGGGTGTATTTGCTTTACCGCACAACTTATTCAAACCTTATCAGTCGATGTGCTGCTGCTCAGACTTCAATATTTCATCGGCTTCATTTTGCGGTGGTACTCCACAACTTGCAGTAGGTATTCATGTTGTTCGGGATTCTTGGCGCCTTTCCGCGACATCATTCACAACCCCAAGAGTTTGAACTCGCTGCTGCGCTGTTAAGTAGAAAAGAGCCGCCGTCACTTTCAATAATTTTAAAGCACTTTTTTTGTTCAAAATCGAAACAATGTTTATGAAAATATATCATTCTCTTTCGGTTGGTAACAGTGAATACATTTTCATGAATATGACACATCAACAAAAAATAACTTTGATAACTTGATGATTTGTTATATTTACACCTTTCAGATAATCTTGATTTAAATCCCAATGTTCAGGGTTTTCACCGAGAAAATCGGTGGAGATGTTCATTACAGTAAAAAACTCTCTTGAAGCCTCAGTAATTAAGTCCGAAAGGGTCTAATGGTCACTGATGTTAGTTGCTCTGACGAGAACTTTATCCTCGCTGAGTTGGCGTCGTTTTCCCGATTTTTCGATCGATTTTTTTGGTTCATTTAAAGCAGCTACCATCTTTACTTTTTCGTCTATTTCTACTTTTGAATCGAAAAAAAGCAAGGGCAACGTTCCATTCCGATAAGTACCATAGATGATTTTGAAAGGCTTTCATGGCAATCGAAGCGTAATGTAACAGAACTACTTAGACGATACCAATATCGAATGAAGCATTGCGATAGAAATAGAGTAAAAGTTGTGTAATGCTTCCAAAGAGACTCCCAACAAACAATTTTAGCTGCAGATTAGCTTATACTGCCAAAATTTGCCTTATGCAGCTAATTTTTGCCTGTATAAGCTGAGCTGCAGCTAAAATTGTTAGTTGGGCTGATCATCAAAGTTTTCGCTGCACATCCACGATTTCAAAATGTATATTTCGCGACCCATCCACCTCACACGGCTGAGGCTACCTGCATTGTGGAATCTTAATCCTTTTGGAGGAACTCCACCCAAAAACATTACGATCAATTCGAGGTGTTTGAATACAATTTCGGCGATATGATGGCAGCATGCCAATGGTAACAAGTTTCTTTTCAGTAGAACTGGAAGACGGGTTATAATACCACTTTTTTACGCCAGAGTTAACACTAGCTGTATCAAAGCTCATTCCAACTATTCTTTACTGCAGACCCCCTTCGTTGATTGTCTCCATTATCGCAGCTGATTCAGCATCCGCCGTTCCACTTGATAGGGAAGGTACCGAAAGAAGTTTAGACACCCCTGCTCCAGTAACAAGAATAGGAAGCCGATCCGTTGATTTCAGGCAGAATCTTTCCATCCCAGTGTACAGGTACATCATTTTTTTTCCTAGAATTTTGCTCTACACTCGAAGTTTTTCCAAGTAGGATTGTTTGAATAAATTGTGCGGCAAAGCAAATACACCCTTGTGAAAAATCACGCTTGTTTCCAAATGACCCCCGTGAAACATAATTGTTGTACTATACCGGAAACCTGTGTAACGTTTCATCAAAATCGATGATTCTTTGCGCATGATATCGGCTTTCCTCCATGCTTAGTGAACCCCCACACAACGTGACTGCCTCCCCTAATAAAATTGTTATGGTTATTTTGCTTAACGACGTGTTCTGGGTATCTTCCAAACCATTAGTGGAAAAGTTCAATTATTTGGGTTATCGTTCGTTTATGGTTATTTTTTATTAGGGTCGCGCAGACAGCAGCAGGCGGCAGCTGGCAGTGCTGCTAGAAAAAAAAAGAATAATGAGCAGTTCGTTTGGTTAGCAATCAGTAATGGCTAAATAACTTTTTCCACAAGTGTCGGATCGTTTTGCGGTCTTGGAAGAAAAGTTTCCTTGTAAAATTTGCTAGAGAAAATTGGGTTGATTTAGTTTTAGAGAACGATGGGTGACCTCACCAGATTTTTATTTGAAAAAGTAAGTTTTCCCATAGAAAATCCTATGTAAAATTAAAACCGCTGGCGCTAAAATATAGTTCCACCGACCGACCTGAAATTTTACACAGTTATTCTAGGACCCAGAAGGCCCCCGGAAATCATACTGGAACTGGAATTCGCATTTTGTCCCACCCACTGGTTACATTCCATTACTCCAAATGTTTCTTCGAGAGCGTGGTTCAAAGGTCTGGATGTAATTAGGGGATTCATTCGCGTGATGTAAAGACTTATGTCCAACCACTACTCGCAAGACGCACATCTCTACAGAATAAACCTCGTTGACAGCAATATATGTAGGTGCAGAACCGGTTATGATGACATCGATCACGCAGTTTGGCATTGCGCGGGTAATGACGCCTCCAGAGCACGACTTTTGGATACCCTAGTGGCCCGAGATAAACAACCCTTCCGTGAAGTAGGAGATGTGTTGGGAACCCGTGATCTTCCCTACATGCAGGCAATCTACGAATTCCTTTGTTTGTCTGATGTTAGAGTTTGATGTGACCATCCCCTCCTTTCCACACATTTTCCAGCCATTGTGTCCCAGTGTTATTATCCACCTATTTCTGTGCTATTTGCCTCTGCCCAGCCAGCATTTGGTCAACCGTTCGACAGTAGTATCAACCGATGGAAACTAACGATTTTAAATTGACTCACTACTTGAATAGCCTATTGGTTCCAAGCAAATCGATTAACGTACCCCACTCTAGTCAAAATTCTAGTACTACACAATGTTTGTTTAGATTAAAGCCCTACAGTACTGTAGGGCTTTAGTTTAGATTCGCCATGAAAGTTTGACAGATAATATGAGGGGTTCGTGGATTTTCCTATGTTTCGAGGGGTGTATCGATTAGCTTGGGACCGAAGATAGTACTAGAGCTGAGCCAACAAGTTGAGCACGTTTCTTCGGGACCTACTAGTCTTATAGCGAATTTGTTTTTGATTCAGTTCCAACCTGGATCGGGTATCAAGATTGGGTCTGCTTGTTGCCTTTCTAACGTCAGTGTTAACGTTTGTTTTTGTAACCTCCCTAATAAAAATAACCATAAACGAACGATAACCCAAATCATTGAACTATTCCACAAATGGTTTGGATGATACCCAGAACACGTCGTTAAGCAAATTAACCATACAATTTTTATTAGGGCTGGCTCGGGTTGAGGTTCGCACTGACAATAAGCTCGGGTTCGCACGGGTT